CTAGGGCTGAGTTTTAGAGCAGAGCAGTAGAGACGGAAGCCGCCGGGCGCGCAGGGCGCGGGAGGAGCGCTCCCCGCGGCGGCGCGGAGCCGGCAGCTCCGGGGCCGGCGGGAGGAAGGCGGCGCGAGGAGGGCTGGAGGGCCAGCGTCTGCATTGCGGTCGGCAGCTCCGCAGTCGGAGGGGCCCGGAGGGCTGCACCCTCGGAGCACCCCGAGCGGCCGGACCCCGCGGCTGGACGGGTCTCCGCGGCGCCGGGCGGGGTCTGCCGTTGAGGCCGGGCAGGACGCGACCGAGGGAGGGCGCGGCCCCTCTCTCTCGGGCCACGGTTTGGCAGGACCCTTACTGAGGAGCAGGCTGAAAGTTTTTTGGGGGTGGGGTACACCGGGATGGCAGGGGGCGCGGAGGGAGGAGGTAAGGCGGCCGCCTTGGAGGTGGACCGGGAGCTGGCAGTCTCAGGGCAAAAGGCCGAGAGTCTTCAAAATCCCCGGGAGAGACCAAGGACATCTAGGATGAAGCAAGAATCCTCCGGTACCTCTATAGCTCCAGTACTTCTGTGACATTCTTGAATAATCTTGTTTCCAGGAAAAAGAGTAAAAGAACTAACAGCTTTTGACTATGAGCCAGTTGTGTAACATACATTAATATTTTATTTAATTTTTCCAAAGAGCTCAACAAGGTAAATAACACAAGCACCTCCCCCCCGGCCCCCGCCCCTCCTCAAAGATGTGAAAATGAGGCTCAGAAAGTGTTGGAGTTACCTACTAAAGGTGGGGTCCAAATTCGAACCCAAGGTCGTGCTCTCTGCAACACAAGCTGCTGCTGAAGCCACAGCACTTTTGGAGAACCCAAGCTGCCGGGGTGACCTTCAGAGTTCTTATGGAGGAAGCTGGCGGAGCTTCCCACTAAGATGTAGTGGCCTCAGTCAGTAGGGTGCAGGCTTCCTGACCCTCTCGCTGGGCAAGGACGGGCCGAATGGAGAAGAGAAGTGGAATGTGTGGGGGCTGCCCCTTACAGAGATAATAGAACAAGCTTTAATCAGTTCCTTGATTGAAAGGAACTGAAGTGCTTTGGTTTCCTCAGGGGGAATCCTCTGGAATTGTGTGGTCACTACACTGGCTAGCTCTGCTTGGGGACAGGACTGGCCTTGGCCCAGCACATTCTCTGCAAGTCCCTGCCCCACCTCCGCTGTCCAGGGCAGTGAAGCCCCGGGGAGGGGGAGTAGTGCTTTCCCCACCCACCTGCCTCTGGGAGCTGTGGCTAAAGTGTCCCATTGACTGGTGATTCTTCACCCCTTTTCTACCTGTGTCTGTCGTCTTCACTGAGTCAGATCTCTGCATTTCAGAGCACTTAGGGCGCTGCTGAAACGCTGGTGACCAAAGCCCCTCAGGGGAAAACAGTGGCTTCCCTCGCAGGCAAATGAGATGAAATCTTATTAGTTACCGGCCTCAGTGCCTGGACCAGGGGAAATGACCCTTCTAGAAAAAACAATCCCTAAAATTCCAGCAGGAAGGGCCATGGTTTCTCATGCCGGTATTTGCCTGATGTTGTAGGTGAGAACAAATTGCCCTCATTTCTTTTTTTTTTTGAGACAGAGTCTCACTGTGTTGCCTGGGCTAGAGTGCCGTGGCGTCATCCTAGCTCACAGCAACCTCAAACTCCTGGGCTCAAGCGATCCTCCTGCCTCAGCCTCCCGAGTAGCTGGGACTACAGGCATGTGCCACCATGCTCGGCTAATTTTTTCTATGTATTTTTAGTTGTCCAATTAATTTCTTTCTAATTTTAGTAGAGACGGGGTCTCGCTCTTGCTCAGGCTGGTTTCGAACTCCTGAGCTCAAACAATCTGCCCGCCTCGGCCTCCCAGAGAGCTAGACCTCATTTCTAAAATGGGGTCATGTTTGACGTATATCCTAGGATAGGTGAGGTTAATGAAGGACAGTTCAAGTCAAGGACAAATATTAATTAGGCACTTCATCTTTATAATGAAGGAAACACATTTTATTGATCATTCAGTGTTGTAAAGAGGCCAAGAAACACATACTGGGCGCCTATTATGTGTCAGATGCTGTGGGTACAACAGCCTCTCGGGTGGACATTATTCCCGTTTACACACTGCTAAGAAACCGAGCCTCAGAGGCCACCAAGGCAGTGAATGGGATGCGCGTACAGCTTGGTATGACCCCACACTGCCTACCCCTGAAGGATGCAGGCAACCCAGGATGATGGTAAAGTGTTGGGACACTTTAAAGACCGTATCAGAGAATCTAAGGACGTGAGTGTCAGAAGGCCCTTGGTGGCATGTACATGCTCCTCCTGTTCCTGTGCAATATTTCTGGAGCTGGTCATCGCTCCTCTGCTAGAATACTTTACAGTTGTTTAATGCCTTTTCCAGGCTGCCTGATCCAATCTGCTGTGGTTGGCAGGTTCTAACCTCTTGCTGTTCGAAGTCGGTCTACAGACTAGCAGTGTCAGCTGGGAGCTTATTTGAAATGCAGAATCTCAGTCCCCCCCCCACTACAGAATCAGAATCTGCATTTTAACAAGATCCCGCAGATGTTCCATATACCTGGTGAAGTTCGAGAAGCACTGTGCCGACATCATTCAGCAGGTTCTACTCGTTCAATCACAAAATTGTAGAGTGAGAGCATCTCAGAGCCGGGAAGGGCTCTTGGAGAACTTTGAGGACATCCCTTCATCCGGTATGTCAGTCCTCTCCGTGACCTTCCCCTCAAGTGGAGCATCAGACTCTGCTTGGACACACCCATGGGTTTTACCCCCTTCTAGGGTCATGTCCCAATTTCTCATGGATCTAGTGTTTAGGTAGCTCTCAGCTTTCACAGAAGCTCCTACTCATGCCCAACACTGGATTCAGCAGTGAACAAAACAGACCCGTTTCCACCCCCAGATCCTGTCCCCGGACTTCCTGCCATGTGACAGATCTTTCTGTATTTGAAATCAGTGCTTTCAAATCTCTCCCTGCTTCTTCTTTTGGATTGGGCATCCTCACTCCTTTCTGTCCTTCCTCACCTGTCTCAATCAACAGACTTCTACCCTCCCCTACCAGTCTTTTTAAATGAGGTCTGGACTCCCTGTGTCCCACGTAAAGGGTGATTCAGAACTGAACACAGTCCTCCTGTTAGTATGCTCAGCCCAGAGGAGAGCTCACCTCCTTTGTCTGGGTGCTGTGCTTCTGGTAATGCAGCCTACATTTATGTGCTTTTTTGACAACTTCATCATTACTCATGCTGAGCGTGCAGCCAACTCATACCTCCTTTCCACACGCACTACTATGCAACCCACGTCTCCCCTGGCTTGTCCTGGTTCGATGGGTTTTTCTAATCTAAGTGTGGGACTTTATCTTTGCTTCTATTAAATATTACCCTAATAAATTCGGCTCACCACTTCTGATCATCTTGGATCTTCGTTCTGTCATTCTCATGTTTCCTAGTCCCACCAGCAGCGGACTTTCTACAAAGCTAATTGGTGTGCCACTTCTGTGTCTTCATTCAGGCTGTTCGTAAAAGTGTTGCACAGGACTGAGCCTAGGGCTGAGTTTTAGAGCAGAGCAGTAGAGACAGCCCTCCTAGCATGACATGGTTCCATATTCCAGTTACTATGGCTGTATAACAAGCCACCCCAAAACTTAGTGGCTTAAAACAACAATAGTCACTTAATATCCCTCACGGTTCTAGGAATCAGGAATCTGGGAGAAGCTCAGCTAGGCAGTTCTGGCCTGGACTATCCCACAAAGCTGCAGTCAGATGTTGGCTGCAGCTGCAGTCAGCTGAAAGCTTGGGGTCCATGTCTAAGGTGGCTCCCTCCTGTGATTGGCAGGTGGCCTCAGTTCTCCACACCGGCCACCCAGCGGAGCTGCTTGAGCATCCTCATCACACGGCAACTGGCCTCCACCACAGCCAGCGATACGGAGGCCAAATAGAACCTGCAATGCTTCTATGTCCTGGCTTTGGAAGTCACACACTGTCATTTCCACTTTATTATACTGGTCACACAGGGCCAGCCCTGAATTAATTTGGGAGGGGACATACAAGGGTGTGAACACCAGGGGATGGGGACTGTTGGGGGGCATCTTGGATGCTGGCATCAACATTCCCTTCATTAAACTGACCCTTAGAGGATGGCCAGGCTTCCAGTCTGTCTAACTGTATCACCGTGGAGTGCCTGTCCCCTTACACGGGGACACCATGTAAGTACCTTGCTAAGTCCTGCTGTCAGTTGTCTGCAGAATTCCTCTGAAGCATTCATGCAATGCCCCTGCGTGAGCATGTGGTCTAATTTTTATAGAACAGCCTCCAGTTAGTCCAGGAGGGTTCTCATGTCACCCCTCCATGCCTCTCCTCACAGGTCCTTCAACTGTTTCCCAGGGATTTTGCTTCCGGACCCCTTGCTTTCTGGAAACCCCCATTTGTGATTGTCCCTCTAAAATGCAATGCCCAGTATTGGATGCACAAGCCCAGCTGTGGACTGACCAGGGAGCAACCAGATGACTGTTCTCTCTCACGATTTGGAAATTCTACTCCTACTGCTGTGGCCAAAGATTATTGGGTTTCAGGGCTACATCACACTCTTGGTTGATACTAAAACTTGCAGACGATCAAAAGTAACAGTCCGTTTTCATGCTGGCCACCACGAAAGGGGTTCCTGTCTATCTCACGCAACAAAACCAAGCTGAGGAGTGAGGAGGTGCTCTGTGTGTTCAATGGTGTCAGATACGAATCCCAGTGCTGGCATGGGGAGCTTGGGCCAGTTTCCTAACCTC